ACTTTCCTGAGCAAGGGAGCCCATAGTCTCATCTGAGATATGATCTTTTTCCTCTCCATATGTGACCCTGCCTCTGGCTTACTGTCAAGTTCACCCATCAGGTTTTCTTGTCTCTCCAGCTCTCCCAGCCGGGCCCGGCATTCTTCATCCATAAGCAAAGCATCCTTGGACTTTAAGTCATTTTCAAAATGTGAAGTTTTGGGTTTCAAATGAGGTTTGCGTGCAATTTGGGGTTTTCTTTTCAATACAGAGTTGTTTTGAATGTGTTCTCTTATCTCAAAAAGATCACCTGCCCCTTCTTGAAAATTAAAAAAAAAGATCACCTGCCCCCACACCCTGTCCTGCAAATCCACTGTGAATCCAACTTCAGATCCAAAGTTTTTCATGGTTTTTTAAAAGTCATCCAGTGCTTTCCTTACATGTTCCTTCCTGTGTTCTACTAGACCCACTATTTGCTTTGCAGAGCATGGACAAAACCACTTGTCCCCAAGGAGGACCGTGATTTTGTTGATAGCAACAAGTCCCGGAACAAAGGCCAGAGGCTCAGAAGATAAGGCCAAGTTCTTGGATGGTATCTATTCGTTGCCAGTGTGAGATTCGCTCTGGCAACTAGAGCCCCTCCTTTCCTGTTCTTGGAGCTTCACAGCCTGTGGGGCATCCAGCTGCCTGGAGGTGGCCAGGGAGGCTGGGCTGGGGGGCGGACACCCAGGCTCCATGGCTTCTGCTTCTGGGTGTGTGTGGTGATCATCTCCGTTGGTTCTCTAGGCCCCAGACACATTGGCTTCTTCTGTCTCCAAACACTCACCACATTCTCCAGGAACAGGGTTTCTCGCACACACACATCTCTGCCTGGTTCATACACCTGTACAAATTGTGGAGCTGGATCTTGCTACCCTTCAGGTATCACCCTATTTTTCCCTTCTCAGGGGGACTTTTTTTGTTTTGTTTTGTTTTTTAAAGATTTCATTTATTTATTTGAGAGAGAGAGAATGAGAGAGAGCACATGAGAGGGGGGAGGGTCAGAGGGAGAAGCAGACTCCCCGCCAAGCAGGGAGCCCGATGCGGGACTCGATCCAGGGACTCCAGGATCATGACCTGAGCCGAAGGCAGTCGCTCAACCAACTGAGCAACCCAGGCGCCCTCTCAGGGGGACTTTGATGACTCCTACTCCATAATGGGCTCCTGGATATTCTCTCTCCTGACACTTCCTAAAATATGTAGCTGTAATTACACTTGACCCTTGAACAACATGGGGGTTAGGGGCACTGACACCCCACACAGTTGAAAATCTGCATATAACTTCTGAGTCCCTCAAAATTTAAGTGCCAACAGGCTACTGTTGACCAGAAGCCTTACCAATAACATGAACAGTCACTTAACACGTATTTTGTATGCTACATGTATTATACACTATATTCTTACAATAAAGTAAGCTAGAGAAAAGAAACTTTTTTTTTTAAGATTTTATTTATTTTGACAGAGGAGAGAGAGGGAACACAAGCAGGGGGAGTGAGAGAGGGAGAAGCAGTCTTCCCACGGAGCAAGGAGCCCGATGCGGGGCTCAATCCCAGGACCCTGGGATCATGACCTGAGCTGAAGGCAGATGCTTAACGACTGAGCCACCCAGGCGCCCCAAAAAGAAAGGATTTTTAAGAAAATTATAAGGAAGAGAAAATAAATTTATAGTACTGTGCTGTATTTTTTTAAAAAAAGAAAATCCACATATGGGGTGCCTGTGTGGCTGTCAGTTAAGCATCTGCCTTCGGCTCAAGTCGAGATCTTGGGGCCCCGCGATGGAGCCCCCCAGGCTCCCTGCTCAGCGGGGAAGTCTGCTTCCCTCTCTCCCTCTGTCCTTCCTCTCTCCCCTCCCCCGCTCATGCTCCTCTCTCCCTTCTCTCAAATAAATAAATAAAATCTTTAAAAAAAGATCCGCATATCAGTGGACCCACACAGTTCAAACCAAAGTCGTTCAAGGGTCAACTGTATTTACTTAGGATTCCCTACTAGACTCTAAGTTCCATGGGGACAGGGACCATGGATATTCACAGTGGCTGCTCTTAACCAAAGACTCGCAAAGAATGGCCTGTGTGGAAGAAGAGGTCATATTAAAAGCCCAAATCCCAGGCGCCTGGGTGGCTCAGTTGTTTAAGCGAGTGCCTTCGGCTCAGGTCATGATCCTGGAGTCCCAGGATCCAGTCCCAGGATCGACTCCCGCATCAGGTTCCCTGCTCAGCGGGGAGTCTGCTTCTCCCTCTGACCCTCCCCCCTCTCGTGTTCTCTCCCCTCAAATAAATAAATAATACTAATAAATCTTTAAAAAAGATAAAAAATAAACCAAATCCCAATTTCTCCTAAGATGTCAGTAAATGAGACTTCCCTAGTTAGGACCACCAGCCTGTGATATTGTGATTTATGATAAGAAATCTATATTTGATCTTCTTCCAGTTCCTGGCACAGAGCTCCTGAAACTTTTGGAGTTTCCTTCCTTCCTTCCTTCCTTCCTTCCTTCCTTCCTTCCTTCCTTCCTTCCTTCCTTCCTTCCTTCCTTCCTTCTTTCCTTCCTTCCTTCCTTCCTTCCTTCCTTCCTTCCTTCCTTCCTTCCTTCTTTCTTCTTTCTTTCTTTCTTTCTTTCCTTCTTTCTAGGAAATAGAAGTATATTGAATATACCGCAAGGGAGCTGAGGGCAGGACAGCAAAGGAGAGACTGTCTGCCTGGAGTTTCTTAAGTGATGAGAGCTCTGGAGGTGTCTTTGGCTATTCATAATAAGCCCCCAGATGACCACACCCATAATTGTGGGGTGTGGTAGGTACGTTGCTGGTGGGCAACCCCTCCTGCTTCCTTTCCTGCCCTGGAAGAGGATTTCTTTCATTCCAGGTGGGAGCTCTCTGGGTCCCCACAGTCAGTATGGCCGAGAAGACCTTCAGCATGGACACCAGAAGGAGCCACTGGCAGACTGCCAGTCCCACGGGGAACTAAGTCACAGCCAGGAGATTTCCTGCCCTCTGCCCTGGAAATTATTGAGGTGTGGCTCACCTTGCAGCCCCTTCTAGAATTAAACATGTGTTCTCTTCTCAGTGGCTGGTTCTCCTTATGCCTTTTGAGGAGAAACAGCAGCTCTGATAACACACCCCCTGGAGTGACCCCTTTTCTTTTTTTCTTTTCTTTCTTTTACCTCCACCAGAAGAGAGACCTTGCCTTAGAGCCGCCTGAGAGGGCACCTGGGTGGCTCAGTCGGTTAAGCGTCTGCCTTGGGCTCAGGTCATGATCCCACGTCGGGCTCCCTGCTCAGTGGGGAGTCTGCTTCTCCCTCACCCTCTGTCCCCTGCTTGTGCACTCTCTCTCTCAAATAAATAAATCTTAAAAAAAAAAGAGCCTCCTAAGAGCTGAGGACCCACTTCACTTCCTGGGCTTCTCTCTATGGCTGTGTGAGAAAGTTCTAGAATGAGATGAGGAGAGAAGGGATGATGAAGTGTGATGGTTGATCTCATGTATCAGTTGGACTCGTCAAAGGATGCCCAGACTCAACGTTATTTCTAGATGCGTCTGTGAAGGTGTCTCTGAGTGAGATCAGGATTTGAACCAGTGTACTCAGTAAAGCGGGAGGCCGTCCCTGATGTGGGTGGGCATCTTCCAGTCCGTTGAGGGCCTGAATAGAACAGAAAGGGGGAGGAAGGTGGAATTGGTCCTTTTCTGCTTCCTGTCTGCCCGCTGAGCTGGGACATTGGTCTTCTCCTGCCCTTGGACCGGGCTTCACACCACCGACTCCCCTGGTTCTCAGGCCTTTGGACTCAGACTGAGTTACACCACTGTCTTTCCAGGGTCTGCAAGATGGCAGGTTGTGGACAGCTGGGTGCACGATCTTGCAGACGTCTGACAGATCGTGGGGCTTCTCAGTCTCCATACTTGAGTGAGGCAATTTCTCATAATAAATCTCTTCATATATATATGTGTGTGTATATATATATATATATATATATATATATATATACGTATATATATATACGTATATATATATATATACATATATACATATACGTATATATATCCTATTGGTTCTGTTTCTCTGGAGAACCCTGATTAACGTAAGGACATTAGTCTTCATCTGAGCATCCTGACAGCCTCCGGCCGCACAACCTGCAGGGCTTTGTGAGCAGCACGGAGCAGAGAGTAGGCCTCAGGCCTCCCGGACGTGCTTGGTGATGGGGTCAAACGCAGGTGGGGCAGGGATGGGACACACAGAACCTGTGCAGGTGCAGGGACTGGCCAAGGAGTGGACCGAGGACCAGGGGGACACTGCTGTACCCACTCCCTGGGCAGACTCTTGTGAAGAGGAGAGTGGTCAGGAAGCTGGGGCCAGGCCCCTGCAGGACCCGATGGGGGAGCTACGTCTGCCACCACCTGCCCTGGGCCGCACCTGCCCCCCTGCCCAAAGTCCCTCGTGGTGCTTCTTTCTCAGAAGCTGTGAGTCACAGCTACTTCATTCTAGGAGGAAAGGGGGCTGGGTTTGGAGGGAGGGAGTGGCAGGAGCGTGGAAGGGGACAGAGTATCCCACTCACCCCAGGGCCCCAGCATTTTCTGCTGCACAAAGCAGGTGTTTTCAGCACCCTGAGGTTGTGTTCTCTCTACTGGTTCACCAGGCATGTAAATTTGGACAAGAACCATATTACTGTGGGGTTCAGCTCCCTCAGGAGGACGTTGAGGTTACCCTACCTCAGGGACCCAACCTTGCAGGCTGGCCTCCTGGGCACTGGCCCGTGAGTTTCCAGCAGGTGCTTCCTCCGCGAACGCTTCCATGGGGCCGAGGCAAGAGCCACAAAGGCAGCCATGGGACCGTTCCCCAACCGACGCGCAAACTCTAGAAAGTTCGGGATGGTGGGGGCCAGGAAGCAGGCATGCAATGGCTCCACCCCTGGGAGGGCACAGGAGGGTGCTGGCCCAGCCCTGAGAGGGCCCAGGAGCCGTGACAGCACAAGGGAGACAGAGCCCAGCACGTCTACACCATGTCCTGGACTCCTGTCCTGCTCGCACTCCTCGTCCACTGCATAGGTGAGAACACCCCAGAGCTCACCACCCCCGGCCCCGTCCCCTGCCCTCCTCTGCTCCAAATACTCATGTGCTTCTGTGTCCCCAGGCTGTGGCTCTCAGCCAGTGCTGAACCAGCCACCGTCCATGTCCTCGTCCCTCGGAACCACAATCCACCTGCCTTGCACCTTGAGCAGAGACCATGATGTCAGCATTTATAACATCTACTGGTACCAGCAGAGGCCCGGCCACCCTCCCAGATTCGTGCTAAGATATTTCTCCCGCTCGGACAACAACCAGGGCTTCAAGATCCCACCTCGCTTCTCCGGATCCAAAGATGTGGCCAAGAACACGGGGTATTTGAGCATCACTGAGCTGCAGCCTGAGGATGAGGCTACGTATTACTGTGCTGTGGGAGCCCAGGGCATGGAGAAGGTGAGGGAGAAAAGGAGGGAAGAAAAGGAGCCTGCTGTTCCAGGGTCGCAGGCACCTCAGGACACACTTACCATGAACTAAAGAAAGACGAGCATGCATCCTCAGGGAGAGGTGGGTGTGGGCAAGGAGGGCCTGGGCCATGAGCTTCACAGGGCTGAGGAGAAGAGTCCTGGCTCAGCTTTTCTTGTCTGGCAGTCTTGCTTAGACCCCCCCGAAGGCCGGATTGGGGGATTAAAGTTGCTTGTGTCCTGGACAGTTGCTTTGCTGAGTTTGGTGCGCCTGGTGTGCTGAATTGTACTGGGGAGGCCCCCGATGTTCTGTGAAAGGTCAGGAGGAGTGGGCCGCACCCAAGAACCGACATAGGGTAAAGGGCCCAGGAGACTGGCTGCTCACGGTCTGCTGGACCCCAAGCCCCTGCTCTGGGAGGTCCTACGGGGTCAGGGGCTGCACCCGGGGGACACTCCTGTTGAGGACAGGAGGCTGTATTGTGCAGGAGTTACAGGGTAAACCAGCCTCTGGGGGGGTCTGTAGGTGCCGAGTGATAGGTGGAGAGCAGGTACTCCACCTCGGTTCTACTGACATTCGAACACGGTTCTCTGTGGTGAGGCTGTCCTGCTGAGCAGCATCCCTGGCCTCTAACCCAGCGGATGCCTGCTCCTTCCTGCCCCTAATTATGACAACCAAAAATGTCTCCAGACATTGCCAAACGTCCCCAAGGTGGCAAAATTACCTTGATTAAACATCATTGATGCAGGTGAAAGAAATGCATGGATTCTTCTGGGCAAGAGAGTGGCAGGAGCTGGTAAATATGTTCTATAAAGGGCCATATAGTAAATAATTTGGGCTTTTTGAGCCATGTGATCTTTGTCCCAACTGCTCAATTCTGTCCTTAAAACAACGTGACAGCGGTCACAGACAATACGTAAACGGGTAGGCATGGCTGTATTCCTATTTAACTTTATTACAGAAACATAGGGCTGCACCAGATATGCACGCAGCTTGCTGACCCCTGCTCCAAGGAACCCCTCTGCCGCTGGGTTTCAATCAAGCCACGCCTGGTGGGGCGATCAAGGTCAACCTTGATTCCTCCTGCCTGATAACTCCATGGAAACCTCTAGACCCATGGAAAAACCTGGAGGCGGGGGGCGTAGCCTTGCTAACGGGCTTATTGGGTGAAGAGGAAACAGTGGGTGTCTGCAGCCCTGACCCATTGTGCAGCACCCTGAGCCCCTAGGTGGTGGGTCAGGACGTGCCCTGCAGAAAGGGACCCCCCGTACATAAGAACCTAGGGGGGACATGCCGCATACTCAGAGAGATGCCAGGCAGGTTATCTGTCCTGTGATCCCAAACTTGGCTGAGAACATCCATTTCCCAAGGGGTCCTCCAGAGAGGTGGGCGCATGTCAGTACTGGACCTTTCACGGGTGTAAAACAATGGTCTCAGCTCGTGCCTTGTTCTAAGTGCCCTCTGAGCTTCTACTTCCTCAAATGCACTGCGTTCTTATTATTATATTATTTTCTCATCAGTCACCAGGCCTGGACTGCCTCTTTGTCAAGTCCTTCCCTTTAGCCTGAGTCATTTCTCACCTTGACCATTATCTGGCTTCCTGCCTGTCCCCACTGCTGCAGCCTGTGCCCTCCGTTCCGCCTCCTCATTACTCCCAGATTCAGCCTTGCCTGCACTCCCCCTCCCTAACCTTTGATTGTCTCCCACCTTCGAAGTCACCCATGCAAACCACAACTAGGGCGCCTGGGTGGCTCAGTTGGCTAAGCGACTGCCTTCGGCTCAGGTCATGATCGTGGAGTCCCAGCATCGAGTCCCGCATCGGGCTCCCTGCTGTCAGCAGGGAGTCTGCTTCTCCCTCTGACCCTCCCCCCTCATGCTCTATCTCATTCTCTCTCTCAAATAAATAAATAAAATCTTAAAAAAAAAAAAAACCACATCTATAGTTTTTAACTTTCTGTTGGCTACATTTTTTTAAAAAGGTAAAAAGAAACAAGTGAAATGATTTTTAATGGTGCATTTTATTTAAGCCAACACATCCCAAATGTTATCATTTCAGAATGCAGTCAATATAAAAATTAGCTATGATGATTTTAAACTTTTTTTTCCATATGAAATCTTCAAAATCCAGTGTGTATTTTATACTCGTGGCTCATCTCAATTTGGACCAGCCACATTCCGAGTGACTAACAGCTGCCTGTGGCTTGAGCAGGACAGTACAGATTGAAGGGAAAAATTCAGACTCCTTAACATGACGCAGCCTTTGGAGGCTGGCCCAGATTTGGTTCCAAGTCCCATGTCTTATACAGCTCCCCCTAAGTGTTTCTGCCGCATTAAGCATCTGCAACTGATCCAATACCTCATTCCCTCGGTTGCCTCCAACTCTTTTTCCAAGCCGTTCATTTGCAGACAGGACTTTCTGTCCCTTTACAGTGTCCTCCAGCTGGCTTCCCAACTCAGGGTTCCACAACAATCTCAAATCTCACTCCTTGGGCAAGATTTCCCTGACCTCTTTACGCAGTTACCAGCTTCCTTCTGTGTGTAAACATTGTGTTTTCCTAACTAAGCACCTACCATACAGATCTAAATTTATTTTGCAAGTCTCTCTCCTTTACTAATCTGCAAATTCTTGGTGGGCAAGATCCATTCTACTCATTTGATGTGTCTGATAAACACAAGGTGCTGACAGAGTTGAACGAATAGATGAATGAGCAATTGATCACATGACTGAATGACTTCTTGAGTTCCAAAGACCCTGCCATTCTAGGATTCCCTGAGATGGCTGGGGTCATTGTGATTCCCTAAGAAGGGAAACCATGTCACATCAGTGACTGGCCACATTCTGTCGGGCTGTCTGTCTGTCTGTCTGTCTCTCTCACACACACACACACACACACACACACACTCCTCTGGTGCCTTGCATTTGAAGCTGGTGATTATATATAGCACCCGGGAGTGTGTGGGAAGGAAAAGGTCAAAATAGGCCAATGCAAGGAAGGGAACATTTGGGGAACTTTCTGAATCAGTAACAGAGGAGAGAGATGCCAGAGAGGGTGGAGTTCCCAGATTGTTGGGATCTGGCAAAGAGCTCCCTGACCCCCTGCCACATCTAAGCATCTACAACGCTCCCAGCTGTGACACAAGACAAGAACCTGGGGTGCTAAGAACTGTGGTCTATGCACAGAAATGCTTGACACAGATCCCAAATTTGACACAGAAACACAGAACCCAGTGGGCTTGGATATGGCACCAGTGGTACTGAAGACAGCGGGCCCAACATTCTGATCTGAGACCTCTGACATCTGAGGAAGACCCAGGGATCTTGGGGGATGGAGCATGCCAATCAGATAGAGTGAAAATGCAAGGGGGCTCTCGGAGCATACAGAAGGCCAGCTCTGTATGGCTGTGACACGGTTTGGCAAGATGAGCTGGGGGAGGTGGCCCCACATAACAAGGGTGGTGGAATTAACATGAGGTCACCCATTAGGACATGGGGGGCCCTTGCATTTCATTCTAAGTTGTGTTTTTGTGACGTAAGCACAATGCCCTAATCCATTCCTTTGTTACTGGATGCAAGCTGGAGATGTCCTCATTCCTGCATTCCTCCTTCGCTTTGGTAAGAAAACTTGCCCTCATCAGTGATTCAGTCCGCTGAGGAACTATGTGTAAGATAAAGGCAAGATAAATGTTTGATTTTTTTTCCCTCTTATTTACCAACTATCAAAATAACAAGTCAGTGTGCCAGCTTCATCCAACTTTGATTTGCTAGTGTCATGATAAGCCCATGAGTATAAGCATATTTGAGGTGTTTAAATCCATTGCAATTATTAGAAGTTTTTCTGTCTTTGACCAGTACAAGCGCATTCAGATTGGTCTGTAATCAGGAACATGTGGAGGTGTCAAAAACAGTACATTTAATTTTATTTTTGGTATTTAAAAAATGTGGGCAAATTTTCATTCCGACTACTTCTCAAGGGGATGATGATTTAGAACACACTGAATAGAGAAGTGGGTCTCACACATGGAGAAAGACCCCTGCGATGAGAAAATCATTCTTTTGCAACCCTTAATGTGATCATTGTAATGATTAAGGCAAGGACCATAAATGGGAGCCAAAACCATTGGGTGTTTGGTTACCGGGACACAGAGCGTGCGTGTCACCCCACATATTCTAGTCACAAAGGGAACACAGACATTTCCACTAGAGAAAGTTGGCTGTCACTCTCCATGTGGCGCTCAATCCTGGCTGCTCTCTTAGTGGGATGACCCAACACCGGTCCCGTCAGGAGGGCATAACAGGAAGCACTCTATGCCCAGGGAGCTGGAAACATTGCACCTGAAGAAACTCAAGCTTCCAGCCTTTACTGCCAGTTCTCAGGAAATACAGGGGCCCCAACAGCCAGACAAACCCAGACTGTGGAACGCTAGAAAAGAAAATTGGCTTGGTGAGTATCAAGAAAGAAAAGGTGTAGACACTTACAGATGAAAAGAGTCCAAAGAGATCTAACAAGTAACTAGAATACAGGAACTGAGATTAGATCTTCTCTGAAGACCAAACCAAACAAAAAATAGTCACTATAAATAGCAGCCATCTTGTGGACCATTGTGGAAATTTGATTGTGAAGCAGATATTAGCTATTATGGGATTATAATAATTTTCTTAGATGGGATCATGATATTGTGGCTTTTTAGGAGAACGTGTCAAAAAACTGCAACTGAATTTTTCCAAACTTTTAATTTTGAAATAATTACAGATTTCCATGAAGTTGCAAAGTAATGTACAAGGATGTTCCATGCACATTTTCTCCAACTTCCTCCAATGTTAGCATCTTGCGTAATTACAGTACAGTATCAATACCAGGAAATTGACATTGGTATCATCCAGAGCTTACTCCACTTTCTCCAATTCTACCTGCACTCATTTGTGAATGTGTGTGTGTGTGTTGTGTGTGCGTGTCAATGTAATCACATGTATATCTTGGCACGATCACCACCAGTCAAGATATTTAGCTCTACCGGGGCGCCTGGGTGGCTCAGTTGGTTAAGCCACTGCCTTCGGCTCAGGTCATGATCCTGGA